TCGCGTGTAGTGCTACTGTTAAGGAATAAGCTTCATTGATCCCAGAAACAAAAGAGAAGTTAATTTAAAACATCGTACGAGAGTACACTAGAAAAAGAACCCAAAGCCCATTTATTTAATGGTATTGAGTAAATGAGGGCTACACCACTAAAGCACAATTCATGTCAAGTTGAAGTTATCGCTTATCTGCGTCAGTTATATACATTTAAACAAAGAAGAGCTTTTTTTAAAATTTAAATTTTTACTCTTTTTTTCTTTCTTTAACGGTATCAGATTCATCTCAAGCTAAGAAGCTACTTCCTATCCCGAAGTGCACCCCCTTTGATTTATCAGCAATCACATGGTCACAAGGACTCAAGCAACTTTGATTGAATTTTAATGTAGAAACTTTGTGACTATCATCAGCTTTAAAGTTAAAGCTGTTGACGGTTCTATCTTAAATGTATTAAAAAAAACCATTAAACCCTCATCACATCCAGTTGTTACTTTTCTGACAGTACATAGTTTGAATTTCAGTGACAGCATGGCAAGATTCCATTTCAATCCATTAAACGTTTTTATAACTACAGATGAAAAGATTTGTTACGTCTCATTATGTCTTATTTGAGTGTCCATGGCTTCTTAAGACGTGACTTTAATTGCCTCCAACTCTCTCTTACTGGGATAAATAATAATATTGTTGTTTTAATTACTCCACTTAGAGGAGATAATTGTTTGGACTGCGCAGACAGGTTTGTCGTGCCAAGATAGCAATGACATCATACTGCTCAGTAGATTCACACATTTTGCATGCACAGGAGACACACAGACTCTTAGTAAAACACCCACTGTGTAGGCAGAAGGAATCAGATTAAAGAAGATGAAGTAAGATGAAATGAAACCTTAATAATGCCAGTGAGGGGATATGTGAAAGCAGTAAATAACTTAAGTACATGACAAGAATAACAGAAACTCTTCGAAAGAGTCGAGTGCCTTTTCAAACATTTAAATCAGATTTCAGATTGGCAATCAGGAAAGACTGTGAAATGTCTTAAGCAGGATTGAATTGGGCATCTGTGACTGAACAAACAAGCTACTAAACTACTAGATGTACTGAAACCTCGGGTTTTACCTTCAACATATTGTATTTATTTTCTTCCATCCTTCTCAGATCTGCTGTCAGTCATCAGCATCACTACATCTGCTTGAAAATGCAATTGCTGCAATCAAGCTACTTCTAAAATAGAACTGAAAGAAAGTAATTAAAGAGCAATGATTTTATTCACTAATGACATCTCCAGGCCAAGTCTAAGAGCGCCTTTGAAGTAATACTTCACTCTAAAGGTTTGTTTGTGTTACGAAACACTTACTGCCATGTAGAAATCTTGGATACTTGTGCTTTATTTATTAGTTTACATAGTTTCGAGTTTCTGCTACTTACACTAGCATACACTATTGTTATAACAAATATACAGGACTGCTTTCTTCCATTTGTGCAATATCTCTGAAATTCTGTCTATCCTGTCTCAGAGTGACACTGAAAAACTAGTTCATGCATTTATTACTTCTCAATCCTCATGTGAATGCAGTGTTAAAATCCTGCTTTTTCCAACTGAGGCAACTGTCAAAGGTCAAGTCTCTTCTAGCCAAACTCAACCTTGAAACATTAATACATGAGTTTATAGCTTCTCGTCTCGATTACTATCATGCACCTTTCATCGTAATCAGCTAGTGCAAAAAACATCACTGCTAATTTTTTTATCTGGCACAAGCAAGTGAGAGCACATCACTCCAATTTTAGCGTCCCTTCACTAGATTCCAATTTGTTTATGAATTCATTTTAAAATCCTTTTATTTGTCTTTAAGTCTCTTAATGGTTGTGCCCCATTAGATCAGTCCGAGCTGGAGCACCTTTACGTCCCGCCTCGTTCTCTCAGGTCAGCAGACCAGATGCTTTTGCTTATTCCAAAGACGGAACGTAAACTCAGAGGTGACAGGGTTTTTGCAGTTGTGGCTCCAAAATTGTGGAATGATTTTCCACTGCATGTGAAGCATGCTCCTTCGCTCACCGTTTTTGAAATCTCATTTAAATACACACTTTTACTCCCTGGCCTTCGACCCAGTGTGAGATGTCTATGTTACATTTATGTACTCGTTTCTTGTTTAACTTCAACAGCTCTTTTGTTTTTCTACATCTTTTACCTTCTGTCATGTGTTTGTCTTTTATATTTTGTGTTATTGTACAGCACATTGGTCAGCCCTGTTATTGTTTTAAAAGTGCCTTATAAATAAAGTGCTATGGTATGGTACTGAACTGTACCCTGAACCACTCTGTAGTTATCCTGCTATAGGCTCAGACTGCTGGGATTATGACCTGAGCACCTCTCCTCCCCTCTCCTCTATTTACTCCCCATGTGTAAATGTACCACTACTGCATGCCATCAACTTATGTGTACTTTCTCCTCTAGTTTGCACCATTTGCAGAGTTAATTGTTTTTGTGAAGTGGTGCTATAGAAATAAAAGGGATCTAACTGAACAAGTTCTGTTATATTTCAAAGCAAAATATTGTATATTTCACTCAGCTACATGATGTATGTGTTTTGCTGTGATGAGTGCATTCCTGTTAATCTTGTTTATACCCAGGAGGACAGTGTCTCACACACACACACACACACACACACACACACACACACACACACACACACACACACACACACACACACACACACACACGCAATAAACATTCTTGCCAACGGTTTCACAGTCATCTTCTAATCTGCAGGTGGTCACTACATCAAATGATACACAGCAATGTGGGAAGAGAAGACTGCAGGGAAATAAAGCTGTAATAAAAAGATGGAGTGGTAAAAAGGGGTTTGGATACTTCTTCTTCTCTTGGCTGAGTGTCAATGAATAGAAATAGCATAATTTTGATTTTCTATAAAAAAAATGCAATGAGGTTCCTTTAAGCTGGTCGCTTTAGTTACCATTTAGTTTGCAGGTTAAAATTGTTGATGTGAAACATACCATAAAGTCAGTATGATGCATTGGCATGGCTCATATTAGCCATCTGCCAAGCTAGTATCAGCTAATATCAGTATAAATCTTTTAAATGCCTCATGCATTTAAATTGAAAAACTAAAGAACAGACATGAGAAACACACTTTCAGAGATGCCGATACTGCATATTTTGCCCACAAGAGGGCACTCTGCAACATTCTTGTTAGCTAGACACGTGTTTGAAAACATAACAAACATAACAGTCAGCTGAGGTTAGCAGAATCAACCAAAGCATTAAATAACTAAACCTAAAATTTCTTATACAGTTGTTTAACTTTTATGTGTCTGAAAGAAAAAGGAGTACTGGACATTATATCAGAATATGAGATTTTTAAATAGGCAAATGTCAGGCAGTGATGTTAGAAATGCTTTATCAGTCAGGCTCTAATCAACCCTGGTTTTCATTCACAGATTTGTGATATACACACTTCACACCTGTTAGTTTATGCAGTTTCAGCCATTGTTCATTTTCAAGGAACAACCAAGAGACCTCTGTGTATTTCACTTTATATCAAACAAATTTGTCAGATGTAGCTTCTGAAAACTGACTTATGACACTTACTGTGGCTTTTTAGACATATATACTTTTTATTTAATAATTTATTTATAGCAGCATCTCATCTTGGATGTTGACTTGACCTTTTTCAGTGCAGCTACGCCGTAAATGTTGCAATTTACTTGCAGGCGTCTTATGCAATGATAAAGTTAGATTGCACACAACTTAACGTTTAGGTGGGTAAAAATGTTTCAGCCAGACATTGTCCTGCATACGTTTTAAGGTAGGTAATGACAGAATTATATACGGGCAATTTTAGACCCATCAGAGATGATTGTGCAGTGACCCAAATTTCCATTATAAATCCCTCCACATCAGTCAAGTGGACACACCTTTGGGGGGGGGGAGGTTGGGAGAAACTGTCCCCTCCCTGTGAACCCTGGTCAAATTCTCTTTGAACACAAAATACAGAGGTTTAATGAGCTGAAACAATCTGTGCCAAATAACAAGAGCTGGCTCATGCATGCTCAGCAAATGTGTTTGTCTCTCAAGTTCTAAAAAATCTTTCTCCAACTTGTCTGCTTCCCTGAATCTGACCCATCACCCCTTGTTTTCTGTGTTTGTCCTCATCACGCCTACAACTGAGCAGGGCTGCTCTGTACTTGAACTACACCCACACTCCAGTCTCCCAGCGAGTGGACAAACATGTTATTTCCCAAATCAGAAATCCATTTGCAACTTCTTGCAAACACTTCCCACACAGACAAAACGGTATTAAGAGCTCGACAAGAGCAAACTGTCCTTTTTTTTCCCAGACGCGTAACCCTGCAATCAACCCTGCGGGATAAAACTACACACGCTTTAGTTTTAGGTTCTTCAGGAGTCTCCACTCTTTTCTCTTCTCTTTGCAGCAGTTAGATTACTGAAAAACAACAGGAACACCGTGCGCTGTCTGATTGCATAGTTGCACAAAATGCAAACTTTTTTCCACTTTGTTTGATTTTTCTGTCCAGATAAAATGCAGAGGATGGAAAAGAAAAACAAAAGTCAGATTAGTGCTGGTGAGGTCACTGGGGTTTAGGTGGTGTGGCTTACATCCTTTTCGACTGGAAATCACGACACTAGTTCTTGAAAGAAGCTTTTCTCCTCGCCAGTTTCACTCACTTTCCTGGCCAGGTAAAACGTGGCCTGGCTAAATCAATTTTATTCCCGACTTTTCAGAGTCTCATCTCATGAGATGTTGTCTGGTTCCGTCAGTTTATTATCAAGTATAATCTTGTAAAAGGAATTCAAATCAAATTACATGGAAATCTGTGGCTCTGCTAGATCAAGCAGCGTTGGAGTGGCTGCTTGACATACGCAGAGATACTGTTTCACTTGCATTGCGCTGATCGATTTCTTCATGACTCACAGACTACATTGAGAGAAAAAAAGAAGAAAAGCTTAAGTTTAAGTGTTTCTTACATCTCCCCCACTGTCTTTAACACCTAGGATGTTTGGGTGCTGAGAAAGCTCCACCACAGCGTCCAGTGGCAGCTCCAGCCCCGTGTTTGCCGGCACGCTGTAGAGAACCACCGGCACCGGGCTGCTGTCCGCCAGCTGCAATAGAGAAAAAACAGAGGTGAGACCTCAAATAAAACACCTGTTGAAGGTTCCCAAACTTTCCCTGTCTTTTCTTCATTTACAGTGACTCGGATCAGGCTCAGACTATAAGAAGACAAATCCTGGTGGCCTGGCTGGCTGACATTCAACTATGTGCAACTATTAAAACTGCGATGGGCAAATAATGATCGCGAATCGTGGAAGCAACAGTGAGCAGGTACTGCAGTCAGAACTGCAGACCACCACACATAATCAATTAAACATTGTCTAGAGTGCAGTGTTGATACAGCTTCTGCCATGTTTGCATGCATGGAAAGATTCCTGAAAATGAAAACAGCTGGCTCTAATTATTCTGTGATAATCAGCACAGGTCCGATCACAAGTCTGAGGGTGAAAAACAAAGACACTTTATTCCTTGTTATCAAACTCCGGTTGGACTAGCAGCAAAATGAAAGAACACTCACACTAAAACTTCCTCCCACGTGGTGCTCATTTAATCTTCTTCTTTCATTATCTTCTAAAAACACTTTTTGTACTCGTAAATCTAACTGACGTCGAGCTCAGCAAAGCGTAGATAATATATATATATAATGCAATATTTAAACCCAAAGGGCCGTACTGCTTTGTTGTAATAAACAGACATGCTTTACTTGAGAAGTGGAGAAATATTATTCTAATAGATTTTTTTAAACACAGAAGCTCCTCATAGAGAATTCTTAGAGTAACTCTGAAATCTGCATAATTTTCAGAATTAATAAGCACACACATTTATATAGTTGTTTTGACACACATGATCACATGGAAATATAATGAATTTTTGTTTTTGTATTCATCTCTGTTGCATCTTTTACCCTCCTCTGAGAGTGCTGCGGCACCTCGCTTTGGGAAGCACTGATAGTTCATCCTTTTTTTTTTAAAACACCAAATCAAGGCCTAACCCCAAATTTGCGTGGCACTCTGTTTTCGTGTGTTTGCGCTGACCTTTGTGAAGTGATGGATCAGTGCCCGGCTGTCCATCTTCCCCTTGTAGAAGCAGGGTGTTACCACAAGCACAGCGTCGGCTCCGGCTGCTGCCATCTTCTGCGTGAGCTGGATCGTGGCTCTGGTGGCTGAACAGGAAAAGGAGGAAAGGAAACAACTTCAACACAGACTTTCACTTTTGACTAATTTAATCAAGCAGAATCGCTAGATTCATGAACCTCCTCTGTGCTCTGCAATAGTTACATTTACATTATATTACCCCACCCCTCAGTCCACAGAATAATTGTCTGGCACGAAACTGGTCCATGACACAAAAAGCTCGGGGAGCACTGGAATAACCCGTTTTGTCTTTGCTTGCAGTATTTTATAGAAGCTTGACTGGGACAGTTCACGTAGTAAATGTGCCTGCAGAGTGTAACTGTAACATCTGATGTAAACACTGATTAGCCACAGCTGACAAACCACCTGCCAAATATCGTTTAGTTTACCCCTCTTGGCACCAAACCAGTGAAGGTATGAACGTGAGATCTCTGAGGATGTCCTGAGGCACTTGGATCCTGCGCATGCTTTGGGTCCTGTGGGTTGCAGGGTTCCTTGAGTCACTCCTGAGCAAACTGTCCCAGCCCATCGTACAGTAACCCCAGCTTTAATGTTGTTATGTTTGTATGTTACATTGTTTAATGTTGTGGCTGATCATATGTGAAGTAAGTGATGGAAAAAAGAAACCAGGAAGTTTTTACACAAGGAACGTAGGAAGGCTATGGAAGTAGAAGTTAATGCAGACTCTCGTCTCTCTGAGTGTTTATTATACGTTACAGAATGAACAGCCTATCAAACTCTTACAGACTCCATTTGACTCCAATTATCAGTCCATCAAGACCGGTGACACTGCTGCCTCTATAATAAGCTTCGAATCGCAGTCATTAAAATCCAGAATGGAAAACATAATGAGTCAATTTAAACTTTTAGCACTCGTCGTACAAAACTCTGTATTATTCACAAAATATTTCACTTGTACCGTTTCTTCTCCCTGAACGTGCGCAGATCAGAATGAAATTACACTCGATTAACAAAAAAAAATTTCTACATGTTTTTTTTATCATTTTGTGCCTTTCACAAAGAGCGTTTTCTGCAAAAATAATTAACTCTATTCACTTAGAAGAGGTCAGAGTTTAACTAGTTTAACAATTTTTTTAATGTTTTCCATTATAAATGCTACAATTTTCCATTTCAGTGGTCGCGATGCATTTGAGGGGCTTTGTTCACTGTATAAGCAAAGTTTGGAGAAGATAACCACACAGTGCGATCATTCTCTGTAATGAGCTTCAGTTCAGTGTCACTAATTGTTTTCTAAAAATGAAACTTCTTTTAACTGAATTGTGAATTATTTTAACAAAACATGAAGCTGGCTAATTATTGTGTTTACTTAATATTGTTTATCACTGAACCCTCCACTGTAAAGTTAAAGCCTGAGCTCAAAGAAGCTGAGAGACTTACATTCACAGCCTGATCCGGCTATCAGCAGCCTTCCCGCCGGCAGTGATTGTTTGACCGTCCTCACCACCTCCACCCGCTCCTCCACCGTCAGATAAGGATACTCACCATTGGAGCCCTGAACCACCAGGCCTGTAACAAGAAAACACATGATTTTTTATACTTGAGGTGTTTTTTGGGGGAAGGGGTTAGCTCTGTAAAGAAGCTTATATGATCTCAAAATGTATCAGCCATTTCTAGATGACCCACAGCTCCCTAAAAAACCCTAAAAATGTCAGACTTTTAACTGTGTTTGTCAGACTTTACACCCTTCTCATTTACAAAGACATTTGAAATCCTGCATACTTCAACAAAGTAAAAAAATAAACTGTTGTTAATATTCCTTTAAATAACAGAAAAGTTCCTCTTTTCTCCTAAGTTCACTAATCCACACAGAACTGTGTCTATAAAACAGTTTCAGAATTATGTTCCCTGATGTAAAACTGGGACAATTTTGAGTACCTCGTCATCACCAAACATATTATTATAAAAACACTTCGGGAATGTTGAGAAATGTCTAGGACAACACTGAAAATGAATACTCGACCCCGTGATCTCTGGGGCCTCATTAAAAACATTCTGTCATGGAAGTCACTGCACGGGCCCAGGAACACTTCCAGAAATCACGCGTGCACAGTTTGCTGTTCCATCCACAAATGGAGATTAAAGCTCAATCATGCAAAGAAGAACCCACATGTGAGCATGATCCAGAAACACAGCCGTATTCTCTCTGAGTCAGAGCTAATTTAAAAAGGACTGAGGCAAGGTTAAAACAACAAAGTATTCGGTGGTCACACGAATCAAAATTCTTTTTGGAAAACACGGATGCCACATCCTCTGCACTAAAGAAGAGCGGGACCATGAGGCTTATTATCTGTGCTCAGTTCAAAAGCCTGAATCTCTGAAGGTTTGGGAATGCATCAGCGCTTATGGAATTCACAGCTTGCACTTCTGAAAAGACGCCATCCCTGCTGAAAGGCATGTACAGGTTTTAGAGCAACACATGCTCCCATCCACATGAAGAAGGCCTTGCATATTTCAGCAATACAATGCTAAACAGCATACTGCAGCACCACAGCACGGCTGGGTGCTGACGTGCCCTGCCTGCAGTCCACACTTTCCACCGATTGAAAACATTTGGCATGAAATGAAAAATATGACAAAGAAGACCCCAGATTGTGGTTCTGCCAGAATCTTCTATCAGCCAAGAATGTGACAACATTCACCTGCAAAATTTGAGCAGCTGCTCTCCTCAGCTGGCCGACATCTACAGACGGTAGTTAAAAGCAGAGTGGATGCTACGCAGCGGTAAACAGGGCCACGTGCCCACTTTTTTTTAGATGTGTTGCAGCCATCAAATTCAAGATGAGTTCATATTTTTCTTAAACTGGTATATTTTCTCAGTTTAAACACTTTGTTTTCTGTGTTGTATGTGAATAAAATATACGTTTATTTATTTTATTAAGAAAATCATCCAGCTATTATTTACATTTTACAAACTAATCCAACTTTTTTCTGGAATTGGGGTTGTATCCTCTCTTTCCTCTGTGCCAACATTAGAGCGAGCAGCCTCTTGTCTTATTGCCCAAGTAATAACTGACATGTAGGGCAGATAGAGAAGCTCTCGGCTTCTGTCTGTCAGACATAATATCAGTATTATATTATATATTATATTATATAAAAAACATAATATCAGTATTATATTATATATTATATATTATAATATATAATATTATATAAAAAACATAATATCAGTATTATATTATATATTATATATTATAATATATAATATGATATAAAAAACATAATATCAGTATTATATTATATATTATATAATATTATATAAAAAACATAATATCAGTATTATATAATATATTATATTATATTATATTATATAAAAACATAATATCAGTATTATATATATAATATTATATAAAAAAACATAATATCAGTATTATGTGTAGGTTTGCTATTTGCCAATTTCATTATAATTAATTATCATTTAATTATTGATAAAATAAATGTTCTGGTCAATGAAGAATAATCATGTAGAACGATCATTTAGTGAACAACAGTAACATGTTGTGGAAGCAGAAGTGCAAATATTTCCTGCTGTGGACGGAAAGTAAAACTCAGGAGCAGGTAACGAGCACCAGGGGGCGACAAATCCAAATCAGGCCCTTTACGTTTTTGCCTCAGTGCTGAACTTTGTCCTGTGTGTCTCGTCCCTAAGCAAATACAGACATTATCCATGGATATCAGACTGCAGCGCATGCAGCAGTGCAAACAGTATGCAGCTGGTGTTTTACGCTCCAAGCTCAACTATGGCTTCATAATGTTCTGAGCTGTGTAAATAAAATCGACCCTATGCGCATCAATGACCTCTTTGTTATTCACACAACTGTTTTTGATAACTTTGACTTTTGCGTGCCTCGGGCCTGACCTTTAAATGGGATCTTGGCGTATTTCTGCAGGTTTTCCTCCAGTTTCTGATAGTCTACATCCTCCTTGGCGGTGAACGGGGTGGCAATAGGCGGATAAATCCCGCTGAGGTCCAGCCTGGCAGCTGTTGTGTGGCTCTGGGTTCGTTTCCATGCTCTGTGGTGAGCTACCCTGCACAGGTAGTTCAGACTTCTCCAAGCCCGGACGCACTGCATTTGTAATTCGGACACAGAGTGACTGGGGTGCTCGCTGGCGGTGTGCTGGGACTCTGTGCAGCTGCTGCAACCGAGAACAGTTAATCACTAACCTGCTTCTTCAAATATTGACCACAAATAAGTAATTTCTAAATCCCCAATCTCAACCCTAAACACCTCTATCTCACAACAGTGGGACACCTAAATTGCGTAAAACGGTTTTATGATAATTTTACAACAACGTCCACATGACTGAAACCATTAACTACTTTAGAATCAGTTTTAAAAGAACGGTAACACGATTTACATGGACTCTCGCGGAAGTTCAATACACAGCCACTGATCCACAGCTCAGCCCAGGATCAATAAGGGATCATCAACCACAAGCAAGTTTTGAAATAAACGCAAAAGGGTAATTACGACCGATCATGTTGTGGCCAAGAAAATAAATAAACAAATAAATTAAAGTAAATTAAAAAAAGAAAAGAAAACAATAATAGTCTTTTAAACTTTTATTTCAATATTTCTTGTGGAAGGCTGACAGTTGTGGCCTGTGTAATCCCTTTAGTATGATGCATAAGAGGGGAAACATAAACATGCTTACAGAAAGATGCTTATTTGATACTTTTACCGAAACTGGGATTTAGATGTTTTTGTCAAACATTAACTGGTTAAAACTGACAATCGTTTAACCCTTGTGTGGTGTTCGTATTTTTGTTACTCAGCCAGTGTTCATGGGTCTGGTGGACCCGCTAGAGTTTTGGCTTTCCAAATTAACACTATCAAACAATTTTATGTTAAATTACTCAACAGATGTTTACTTCATCCCAATTACAAGCCATATGAACAGCAAACATGATTAATTTTTTTCCCTTTACCTTTGTTAGATCACATTTATGAATGAATGTGCTTCTCGTTTTTTTTTTTTATAAAATGTTATAAAAAAAAATAAATCAGTTATAATCAAGTGGAGTGAGTGGAAAGACACAACACATTTACACGTGAAGCAATATGTTTCACAACTAAATGGGATCAGCTGCTCATCAATGGTGACATTAGGCCCAGGGTTGTAAAACAGGGAGAGGTGGTGCACCCACTTATCCCACACTGTCCTGATGGCAGCTAGCTCGTCTCTCTGCCGTCGAGCTGGTCTGTCGTCTCGGTTATCAAAAAGGAATAATCCTGGAAATTTTGTGGAAGTTTTCCAGAGACATTGATGCACGGAAAGTTTCTTGCCGGTTTCTGCATCCCACAGGGATTCTGTGGATTCCCCTTCGGACCTGAAAACTCCTGCAAGGATAAGAACCCCAAAGTAGGCCTTTGGGGTTCTTAGATGAATTTGGTCCATCTCCTTCCACCTCTCTCCAAAAACACACCTTCCTTCTAGATTACTGCAATGCAGAAAAAATTTCTGGATGGAATCTGGGATGAAAAGCTCAAATGAAGACTTGATGTCCTGCACATGAGTAACTGTCAGCCGTGTTGGCCCTGGCTGATCACAGTAACAGCTCTGCAGGGTGGCTCATTTCTTGGGCAAGAAGACCATTCAATGTCACCAGTTACTGACATCCATATTTCTTCACTTGCTGTCTGGTGGGCTTGTTCTGGTCCTGGAGCTGGCTGCAGATGGGGTACTCGTCTTCGTTTTGTTACTAAATGGTGCTCAACATCCTCTTCTTCAAAGTCACGGTCAGACTCTGAATTTTCAGAAATGTGAAATATTCTGAAACCTCTTTGTCAACATCATCATCCGAAGCCCCTCTCTCTTCCAAAATCAATTGCATGGCCCTCGCAGCAGATAATCTTTTGCCATCTTGATCAGTTGTGATAAAGAACCACACTGGCAAAGTCTTATTTATAGTATTATGCCCCTAATTTGCAGGTGGGACAGGGTATGAGAAAATAAAATTTGGATCCCTCAAGAAAGAGGGTAAAATGTGCGGGAATGTAAGAGCAGACGTGTCGATAGTTGAATTTTCAACAATGTTGCAACTTTGTGCGGAGCAGGAGGGGAAGAAAACACTATCAGCAGCACCAGAAAGGAGGAAGACAGAGTGTGGGAACACAGGACCTACACTTTCAACACTTTTATTAGACCTGGGTCCAGTGGACCCGAACACCTTGTATGTAATGTAAATGCGTGGGGGGAGGTACAGTATGAGGTCATTGAAAATTAGTTCGGATTTATGTTCTTCACCGAAAATAAGCCAAAGCCAATGAATTTCAGGTTGAAAAAATAATTCATTGTTTAATTTTTCTCTTGAGAAAAACTGAAAACGGGTCTCACGGACCCGAACACCATACAAGGGTTAATAACCATAAATGAACAAAAAAAAAGCACAATAGACTCAAATCCAGTTTCTCCTCTCTCCAAAATCACTGCTTGATGTATTAATTAAGCAATCATAAAAATAAGCACATCTCAACAGAGGTCATTATAGTTCACTAAAACTAAATTCAAAACTAAAACTGGAAGTGGAAAAAAACACGTTAGTTAATTACAATAAAAAAAATCATTTAAAAAACTCCTAAAAACAATTGAAAGGAAAACTAACTAAAATAAAATCAAAATACAGTTATATTTGGTTTATTTTAATTAGAACTTGCCTCAATACGCTTTGGTGGACGTGCTTATTCAGTTTCTACGAGACTCTGTGAGTCAGCTGCCTTCAGAAAGTTATTTGTTTTTATTGTAATACCTGTACTGATTTTCACAATTATTGCCACCGATGTATGTAATAAAAAAAAACGAACTAAAATGAAAATGAAACACGTGAAAACATAAAGGAAAATCCACTCTGGAAACTAACTGAAACTAAACAGAATTAAAAACAAAAAGTCGAAATGAAATAATAAAGAGAAGCGGAAAATACAAAACTGTAATAAGACTGATCCTGACATTCGCTCTTCTATTGTTGAACATTTCCAGTCAGCAAACGTCACACAACAGACAAATAAAAAGTAACAAGAGGAACCATTGGGGCATTTTTATGGACTGTATATTAATCGCTATAGCAAAGCTTATATGAGATGCCACTCAAAGTGATCTGATTCAGCTTTGAGCGACGCAGATCCGACACGTTACTGTCTGTGCTGGTGGATGTGACGAATACCCCCAGATTCTGATAGCCTTTACACTTCTGCCACCTTGTGGAAAAAACAACTTATTACGTTCAATTTACAAAATTGACCAAATCATAACATTCTCTGCGGTTCTTTCCATTAATTACCTTTGATTTATACCAGATGGTATAAACATGCTGTCTAGATGCTCCCAGTTAACTGAAACTACAGAGTGAATCTTGGAGTGGACAAAAAAGACCCCCTTTAAAATGAAAAAGAAAAAAAAATGAAGCCAAAATGCAGACACAGTGTGAGAAAATCTGTGTCTGCCCTTACTGCTTCCATGGAAAGAAGGACAATAAGTATCAGCCAGGTGCAGAAGGTTCATTCAGCTATGTGTTAACATGATGTCTGGGAGGAAAGACATTAGCAATGATTAGACAACCAGTTGTTGCCGCCATTCAATCTCAGAAGGTCATCCAACCAATTTGAAGTCCATCATTCTAGTGAGAGAGGTTATTCAAACACTAAAAACAGGATGGGATGTGCCTGAAAACTGGCCCCAGTGTCAGACCATGCAGTGGTCAGAGAAATTACAACAACAACAAAATAGCTGCATTATTTACTCTGTATTTCTCAGTTATCATGTTTAATATTAAAGTTCATGACATTACAGGTAAAGAGACTGAATTAGTTTGGCTTGTTTGAAAGAGAGGTCTCGTCTCTCTAAATAGAAAATCACTCAGTTTAGGTTTGAACAAACCACTAGACTAGTGGAACAATGTCCTTTCGGACCACTGAGACTAAAATAGAGATTTTTCATTGTAAGGCACAAACACACAACACATCTACAGTCAAGCACAATGGAGGAAGGTTGATGATTTGGCTTGTTTTGAAGCCACAGGACGTGGGGACCTTGCAGTCACTGAGTTGACTATGAACTTGTGTCAAAGTATTCTAGAGTCATATGTGAGGCCATCTGTCCAACTGACTCAGGGTTTATGTTATGGACTGTTTTTATCAGGTGGGATTATATTCTAAGTTGGGTTATACTCTCTGAGTGGTTTATGTTTGATTTTCTTGTACTTTTGTGTTCTCGTTTGATCATTTAGTTTTCTGTTAGCTTCTTAGTCATTCTTTCATCATGTTTAGTGTGTTTCTGTTTGCCTTCAACCTCACGTGTCCTTTCATCTGTTTCCCTGTCATGTCTCTTGTTTCCTGTTTTATTTTGATAGTCATTTGTCCTGTATTCAGGGTATTCAGTTTTGCATCCTCACTGTCTTGTTATGTCTAATTAGTCCCCGCCTGTTTCCCATCCCCTGCTTGTCCTGCTTGTGTATTTAAGTCTTCAGTCTTCGTCTGTTTGTTCTTTTGTTTGTTTCTTCTTATGTTTGTGTACTTCGTTGTTAGTTTGTTTTTCCAAAAAAAGCTGCTGCTTTCAGTCAAGTTTTTGTCTTGGAGTCCTGTGTTTGGATCCAACCCCTGCCTGCCACACAGCTCACCATGACACCAAAAGCTAAGGCCTGGTCTACAACAGGACAATGATCTCAAGCACAGCAGCAAATCAACAGAACAGGCAAAAAAAGGAACGAATAAAGCTGTTGCAATGGACGAGTCAAAGTCCAAACCTCGAGGGGCCTTAATTCCCCCACAGTAATGTGACAGACTGATAAAGTCTGATTACTTTTGGTATTTTTTGTCATCCATTGTTGTTTTTATTTCCATGTAGAAACTACAATTAATAAAATAATAAGCAATAATAGCAGTGTTTCAAAATCGGCCCACGCTGAAAGCTGTTGAACCAACTTTTGTTAGCACCTTTTAGCCCGTGAGGTCTGTCATCATCACTGCTGATCATTACTCTAACGCTCACCCAAAACAAACAAACTAAAAAGGTTGTTTGTTTTGTAATAGACTAAACACTGAAACTTGGGTGTGTTGTTGTTCTTTTGCTGTGATGTTCTGTTTTGCTGTTTGATCCCATTATTTTCACTGAAAAGCACATAGTGATAGTGCAGACAATGGGCTTGTTTTAAGGCAGCAGTTTAGGGAGTAATCGTTATTATTTCAGGAATCAGGGAACTAGCTAACACAGAGTCAAGGTGCATGATATGGGCTTCTGCTTGCTCAACAGTCCTGAGTATTCTTTATATTTTTCATTTCATTACAGAAGGTTCAATATTGTCTTGCTGAAATATGTAAGGCCTCACCTGCAAATGACATCATCCGGATTGGAGAAAATCTTGCTCTACAACTTGTTTAAGTCTTTTAGCATTCATCTCCAGGTGTGTATGCTGTGAATTCCAGTCATTTCCAGACATGAATGCATTCCCATAGTATCAGAGATGGTCCCTCTCTGCTTGCAGAGTATCCATGTTTTCCAAACAAAAGGAATTTTAAATTTCAATGTGTCAGACCACAGAACAGTTTTACAATTTAGCTCAGTCTTTTTGGAATCACTGGGTTTCTGGCTTCTTGGAGCTTTGGGTGGCATTTGTGAATAGCACAACGAACTGTGTCCACAGAGAGTCATTTCTGGATATTTTCCTGACTTCCATGACAGAACCATGTCCATTTTTAAAGCAGTGCTGTCTTATGACCTGGAGATCACAGCCAATTAATACTGATTTTCAGTCTTTTCCTTTGCACAGAGATCTCTTGAGATTTCTCTGAATCTTCTGGTAATATGAGATATTCAAAGTGTTTGCAGTTTTACACATTTTTACATGAATATTGTTTTTGAATTGTTCCACGATTTGTTAATGTGTTTTTTCCTGCTTCTTTTTTGTTGTTCTTTTACTTATTGGTGAATCTCGACCCATTTTGACTTCTGAGAAACTCTTCCTGTCTGAGATGCTCGTTTTATACCCAGTGATGTTGCTGAGGATAAAGTCATTATTTAAACCTCGATGAAGGTTGAAAAGGATGCTTGGACTTGCTGAGCGCAACATATGTAATGTAAACTCCACAGTGAAATCCACGAGGCTATTATTAGAAAGTTGCGTCAGGGCAAGGTGGCGAGCCCTCACCCCGCCCCTCTGTATGTGTGTGTGTGCTGGCGAACATCATTGTCAGCACCGCAGTCAGCGGAGCGCTGGTGGTCCCTCCTTCTTCCACATGGACCGGAACCGCGCGGCACGTGACCCGGAGACCGTGGACTGAGAGAGCTTCTCACACCGCATCATGGCTGCATCCAATGCGGCCGCGCGATACCGAGCCGTCTCCCTGCTCTGCTACGGGGCTCCGCTCTCCCTGAGCCGGCTGCTTCTGCTCCTCTGCGCCTGCTCGCTGCTGCCAGCCCCGGCGCTCGGGTTGCTCGGCTTTCGACCAGAGGAGACCGGGACGGAGCTGTCCGTGGAGGACGGGGTGCTGAAAGCCACCGAGGGGACTCGCTTCATACTTCGGGTCTACTATTCCACCTCCTCGCAGAAGCTCAATCGTGCTCGTGCCAACAATGCCGCGCCCTGGATCGCCTTCATCGAAGAGCCAACTCCCGGTAGAGAGGGGCAAGTTCACCCGAAGCGAAACATGTGCATGGACAAGAACGCCAGCACCTCCGACATCGAGGTTTTGGGCTCTTTCAAGTCTGCTTCCAGTCAGAACTCGGTGCTGGTGGAGCTGCTGGCCAAAGACCTGCGGAGAGGGGAGAAGATTAAATATTATTCCATGTGCGCCTTTGACGGATCCAAATGGGAACACTACCGGACTAAAGATTTTTGGGTGGCCGTGAAGGAGCGCTCAGCAGTGCCGGAGCTCTGGCTGCAAGTGCTGGTCTCCGTCCTCCTGCTCGGGCTGTCAGCTCTGTTCAGCGGGCTGAACTTGAGCCTGCTGGCGCTCGATCCAGTGGAGCTACAGGTCCTCCAGAACAGCGGCACCGACACCGAACAGAACTACGCGCGGAAAATCGAGTCTGTGCGTCGGCATGGTAACTATGTCCTGTGCACTCTACTGCTGGGGAACGCGATCATCAACGCCTCGCTCGCCGTGTGGATGTGCCAGATCCTGGGCATGACCTGGCTCTCCACGGTCATTTGCGCCTTCGGGATCTTCTTCATCGGGGAGATTCTTCCACACTCGGTCGCATCGCGCCACGGCCTGGCCATCGCATCCAAAACCATCTGGGTGACACGGCTGCTCATGGTTCTCTCCTTCCCCATCTCATACCCCATCAGCAAGCTGCTGGACCTCATCTTAAACCAGGAGATCTCCAACTTCTACACCAGAGAGAAACTCTTGGAAATGTTGCGAGTCACCGACCCGTACCACGACTTGGTAAAAGAAGAGCTCAACATCATACAGGGAGCACTAGAACTGCGCACCAAAACTGTTGAGGACGTCCTGACTCCGCTGACCGACTGCTACATGCTGGCCTCGGACGCGGTGCTGGACTTCAACACCATGTCCGAGATCATGCAGAGCGGATACACGAGGATTCCGGTATTTGAGAACGAGAGATCCAATATCGTGGACATTCTGTTTGTGAAGGACCTGGCGTTTGTGGACCCGGACGACTGCACCCCCCTGAAGACCATCACCCAGTTCTACAAACACCCGTTGCACTGCGTCTTTAACGACACTAAACTGGACGCCATGCTGGAGGAGTTCAAGAAAGGTGAGAAGGGTGTTAGAAGGGAGTGGGTGTGGCATGTTAGCAGGTTGCTGGTGCTTCAAGTTTATAACTTAAGCTGTAACAGACTCTGTAAGTAACCTGGGTGAGAAAAGCAGGTGAGAGGTGGCAAAAACAAACAAACAAACAAACAAACAAACAAACAACAAAAAAAAACCCAACAACCCCGAAACATTCCTGTTGTGTACTTGAACTTGATTTATCTTTGCACTCATGAGTCCTGTTTTTAACAAGAAAGTTTTTTCTGCAGTTCATCATACTTGTGATGCTTTGCAGATGTTTTCCGGCGCTTTGAAGTGCTACAGTTGAGAAAGGGAGCAGGAAGGACTCAATGTCTCACTGCGGCACTTGTGGCATTCACACAGGGAAATCAAACCCTCTAATAAACTAGTATTTAATGTATGAACTTGAGACGGCAACTTGTGTACTGACACATAATTTGTTTTCTGCCACCTTTAAATTCGAGAATGATATGGGCCCTGGAAGTTGCAGCTGAGACAGCTGACCTATCTTTTAGCAGCAGTGCTTAAACCTCTTTCATCTCCAGATGGAATGCAAATATGCACTGTTGCAATCTGAAGCTGAAAAGGAGCTGTTCTTTTCCCCCTTTTTGTGTTTTTGCAGTGTGCACAGCTTCCCCTGCAGATTCGAAGCAGTCTTCCACCCTGCATGCAGGCAGCAGGCTGTTCCATCTTACTCTAGTTTTAAATGGGTGGGGTTCGAATTGGCCAATCACAGACCTTGCTGCTTATCACCGCCTTCCTGCATTCTCAGGGACCCTGCAAAGTCAGCACTTTTTTCTGCTGTGTTTGTGGTGAGGAGAGGAAGATAAATAGAGGACACCTTGGCCCAGGCAGACTCTGTTTGCGGGAGACGTTTGTATTTCTGTCTGTTTTGGCACAAAACAGCGAAAAGCTTTCACTGCCAAATGTCACAGAGGGGTTTCTATTTATTCTGAACATCTTTTTAAGCGTGTTGTAGTGAAATGCTTTTGGAAACATTTTATAAACTTGGTAATGGTAGAATTTTCCAGAAATGTAAGCTGTTTGACTCTTTAGCTTTAAGCACAAAAAGTTTGTCTTGTCTTACACATCCTGTAACAGACAAGCAAGACCTGTGTGTGGATTTAAAATGAGCTGCATATATTTGGATTATGTAGTAGCTTGTACTGTATGAAGCCAGATGCCATCAGAGCTGCAGGATGAACACAAATATAGTTCTTGTGTCGCTCTGCAACAAAGGGATCTGGATGAGATAATCTACACAGTCAGAGGATTATAAACAAGGTCTGTCCTTGGTGTGTGTGTGTGTGTGTGTCTCCCTGTGCCTCCTTGTCTCTGTGTAGGCACTGCAGCAGAAAAACTCAGGCCCTTTTATTCATTTCAGTGAGACTCCTGCAGTAGCTGGTGCTCACAAAGAGAGCTGCAGGAAACACACAGCTGCAGGGTGATCTATGGCACCGTGTAAAAGTCTTAAGGCACCCTTCATTTCTTTAAAACTTTCTAGGAAATGGGAACAAATAATAGTAATAAAAGCAATAGTCAATGATCACCTTTATTCTTTAACACAGCCTGAACTCTCTTAGGCAGATGTTCTTCTCATTTCTTTAAGTAGTCTTCAGGGTCTGCCTTTTGCTCTGTCCTCTGTTAAAATGATCCCAAACTGCTTCAATAATATTGAGGTTTTACTATCCAGGCATGCTTATACTGCATTGGCGGTGTGTTTGGGATCATTTTTGTGCTGAAATACGAAGCTGTTGGGATTCAGACACTTTCCAGATGGTATTTCACAGCGGGTCAAAATCATCATGTGCTTTGTCTTTATTCATAATTCCATCAGTTGTGAATTGCAAACACCATTGGCTGAAAAGCAACTGCAAAACATGTTTTACCGATGGCTGTAGACACGCATTGTTGCACCTCTCTCCTGTCTTCCTTCTTGCATATTGATGATGGTTCACATTTGGATTCATCACTCCAGAAGACCAGATTTCTGCTCATTTTCAGTTCTCGTGTGATTTGTTAGATCTCTCCTGTTAAATCTTTCCAAAAAAAAATTCTTATAGACATGACTCTCATATACTGTTCATCAACTGTCGATAGATTTCTAGGCCTTCTTCTTCTTTTGTAGGTTTCCTCGGATTCTTTAAGGACACACTGCACAATATGTGAGGAGATGAGATATGACGTGTTTGGCTAATAACTCTTTGGGAATCAACTTGTTAATTTAAATATACTATTTTATGCCTGTTAAACTGTGCTATTTTTGGCATTTTTATTGATCCCATTAAAACATGAAAATGATGTGTTTTTGTGGCAGGTTGGTAGTAACAAAGTGTCTAAAGGTACAACTCAAAACTGGTTCTTTATTAATTGATTTGTTCTGTGTAGACACCACCCTGGTTCATCCTTGGAAAAAACAAAAACATCCCTCTGAAAACGGTTAGGTACAAAGACTGAACTGGAAATGAGTGGAAAAAATCCCAAATAAAAACTTTAAAAGATCTTTTAGAAAGCCTGAAGAATTATCGCTTTAAAAATGACAAGAAAGTCTGACTGCTTGGAAGCAAAATACTAAAAAATAAGCAGTGCCTCAAGTCTTTTTGCACAGTACTGTATAATGCATCAGTGGTTGCTCGACATATGCCTGCTGGCTTTGTGGGCTGATTTGAGCCAGAGCTCTTTCAATCATCAAGAAAAAGGAACATAAAACTAAAGAAATGAAATTCTAAGGAATAACTACAAATAAAGGGCTGATTATCTTTTATGCAAACACAGTTTTGCACTTTAGCCTTAAAGCATGATCATACCATATTTATTTGCATAGCATTTAGATGATTAAACAGAGCAGTCTGCAGGCCACAGGCATATTTGTTCAGCAATAAGCACAAAGCAATAAGGACAGTGTTGAAATCTGGTGTAGAAAACCTTTTGTACAATTTTCTTGCTTATGTGCCGCCTTGTCGTCATGCAGATGGTATCATATGTAGAGCAGGATTTCATAAGAGCCAGATTTATGTTGGCTTTTTTGAGTATTATGTATTCTTTTAAAAAAGAAGTAAAAGGCACAGTTTTAGTAGTTTTAGTACCAAAATATACTTAAAGTATCTAATATGCTTGCAGTGACCATTTTCAGAGGTATATACATTATATCATTGGGTAATTCTAATGTTTTAGCAGGAGATGCCATCCCTCGTAAAGCTCTAGATACACACTCACGGTTACTTTTGTGTTTTCAGTTGTGAGGAGTAGTAGAAGTACTGAAGTTACCAAAGATGAATATGAGCGGAGCTAGAGCCTGGTCGCAAAAGATGTTGACATTAAACCTCAGCTCTGGCTGAAAGGTCAGTTTACATCCAACCTTTTCTTTCGAGTGCATTTAAAACATTGTAATTATTGCTAAAATTACACTTCAGACCTAAATTCTGACTATAACAGGGAAAATAGTTAACCAGTGTTTAATGAGAGAGAGCACATTAGCTGCAGTGCAGAACTGCAGCACATTAGCTGCAGTGCAGAACAGAGTAACAGGAGGGCTGGTTAGCAGAGGTGATAATTGATTGAAAGTAAGTAAAACATTGATGTGACTGCATCTGAAGGCAGGTCAGAGCTGCAGCAGAGAGTCTGCTGGTCTGGTGAGACTGCACAGGGATTCTTTGGCCGGAATGCTAAGCAGTGTGTCTGGCACAAATGAAAGCAGCCAAGTAACACATTTCCTGTTGTGTACAACGGCAGCACCAGTACAGGGGACCTTTAGTTTGCCAGGCATAGGGTTCTTTAAACAGGTGGGAAGCTGAATAAGAGCCCTGCACAGAAAGCTTGATCAAAGTGGGTTTAACAGAGAACTGAAACTAGGAAAGGAGTTTTGTCAGTGAAAGTCAGATTTCATTACTACCACCAAAAACACTACAGTATGAGTTTTCACTGATGGACATGCAGTGAAAAAAAAGAAGAAGTGAATGTTAGTTTAGGTCAGCTTTATCTAATGACAGGCATCAAGTTATGCTGTCCTTCTAGTGTAAATTCTTCATCCCTTTACACTATTTTTTCTTTTTCTGAATCCTCTCCCTTCTCTCAGTTCCCCTCAGTATGCAGTCTCCAAGGAGGGAGAGTATAAAATATTCAGTGTGCTGTATTTCTAGTTTGTCTCTCCGCCATCTGTTCTTTCTCATGTCCACTTCTTACATTTCAGTCCATAATCTGTTTAAGAGACATTTTAGAATGACGCATTTTCAAATAGGAACTATTTTCTTTATATGATTTCTTAGTTTTGCATATTTGTCATACTTGCCTGTTTTCAGATCATCAAACAAATTGTAATATTTTAGTAAATACAAAATGTCATTTTTAAATTATCACTTCATATATCAAGGGAAGAAGTTATTCAAAGCTACCTGGCCCTATGTGAAAAGTAATTGCCAACTGTATCTGGAAAGGGTTACAGAGAAGTTTCTAAAGCTGTGGGACTACAGTGAACTATGCATAAATGGAGAAAATCTGGAACAGTGGCTGGCCTACCAACACTACTCTAAGAGCACATCGAGAACTCAGAGAACTCAAAAGAACACTCGCCTCAGTTAAGATCAGTGCTTACGATTCAACAGTGAGAACGTGAGTGAACAAAAATGGCATCCGTGGGAGAGAAAACCACTGTCGACCAAGAGAAAACAGAGGCTCATCTTAGATTGGCTAAAAAAACATCTTGACGCCCTCCAAGTCTTTTGGGAGAATATTTTATGGACTGACGAGACAAAAGCAGAACTTGGTGAAAGGCTTACATCCTGTTACATCGAGTATAAAACTAGTTCAGTGCTTCATAAAAAGAACTTCATACCAAAGGTCAAGCATGGCGGTGGTAGGTAGCCTGGGACTTTGTTGCTGGATGACTTGCTGTAATTGATGGAATCATGAATTCTGCTGTCCTAATGGAAAATGTCCGGACATCAGTTAGTGAGTTGAAGCTCAAGAGGTCTTGAGTTATGTGGCAGGACGATCATGTGAAACACAATAGCAAGGTCCAGCTATATAATTCTTTCCTTTCTCTGCTTTTTGCTATGTTTTTTTAAAGTAAGCTATATTTAAAAACAGCATAATAAAACTGGACATTTCTTTGGTGATTTGAAAGATTTGATGGTGACAAAGATCCAAAAACAGCTACAAAATCAGGAAGAGGATAAATATTTATTCACAGCGCTGTAATGCTCCAACCATAAACTGTGCAGAGAGACGAGTACATCTTTCTGTGAAGAGAGGCTCATGTTATTGATATGGCTGAACTGTAACATTAGCTAGCAGCACAGGGTTTCTGTTTTGTTTTTTCGGATTGAAAATGTAGTTAAACAGAAAGAAAATAGTGCCTACATAAATCTGTTCAGCCACATTTGTGGATTTAAAAAAAATAACAGAGTAATGGTTTCAGGAAAGAGCCTTAGATGTTTAATAAATGCATATTTTTGGCAATTTGATCCTCTCAAGGGGAGTGCCTTTTTGTTAGGCAGACATCTCTACAGCCAATATCTCCAAACGGGGGAAATCTAACATAAATAACGCTAGGAGCCAGATGTAAAACTTGTAATTTTGACCTTATGTTGAACTTCCCCATAAGTGGCTTGGGAAGAAAGGCAAGTTACATGAGGACATTTCACCTGTCATCCATGAGGCTTCTTCAGATCTGAAGAATTGAACCTTATGAATGCTATGCATCGTTTCTTGTGTCTTGGTTTTGCTGTAGTCAGTCCCTCTTTACAGGAATGAAACCTGTAGGATGAGCTCAGTTCAGACATGTCAGCTGCCATAAGAAGACATAGTTTAAAACAGCTGGTGCAAGGAGACATTGTTTCCAGGAGTTGAAGGTTTAAAGGAATCCTAAACTTTTGATAAGATTAGTTTGTCTAAAAAAAGTTGCAAGGCTATAGACAATAAATAAATAAATAAATAAATAATAAATAAATTAGTAAAGTATGTTTAAAAAATGTTTTGTTTAAAATGTACTTAATTATCACATACACTTCTACCACTACTATTACAACTAAAACCCAACAACTAATAATAATAATAACAATAACAATAATAATAGGAGGAAGAAAAGGAAAGACAAAAGAAGAACACAATAATCGCAGGTCAACTGTGTTTCTGTTCTATTGTCAATAAATTATTGTTTTATCTTTTATGATGCTTTATATGGTATAAAGATGCTTTATATGTCTATATTTTGACTTATGTAGACCAGTTAAAGCTACTTTAGTTTGCCCTGAGACCTTACGGAGGAAGCTAACCCAACGCCATCTCCCCAAGTGAAATGAAGGCAGCCATTTTCTTTCGTTCTTTTTTTTTATTCACCAGGATGGCAGTTGAGCTTTGTTTTGAGGCTGGCCTGAAATAACACTTTGCTCGTTTTTAATGATATGATTGATGCCTTTACAATATAGCTGTTAAAAGTCAAGAATAAAAATGTTAAATTCCAAAACACTTGCTTTGAATAAATGAAAGATGTAATTGTGCAAGGAAAGACACTGAGACATAGTTGCCGTCTTTAAAAAACAGAATACTGTGAGAGAACGCACTGCACATGAGCCTCTCTCAGTCCACTTTGGATGTACGCCTGACCTATTTATCTACAAGAAACACTGCCAGAATCCAGAATCGTGTGCATTTGTGTTAGTCTGTGTTTGTGCATCAGTGTGTGCGAGGTAGTATTTGGCAGGCAAAGAGTGTAAGAACAGAGAGCGAGGAAGTTCATTTGAAGCCAGGCTGCTGAGAATAGGAGGGGCTACAAACAAGGGCTCACTCTTTACTCGGTGAACTCGCTCTTCCATTATGTTTCCTACACATCTCAAACAAAATAAGATCAAAAGACAATCCTGTCAGCCTGACTAAGCACTTCATCATTTTGTTTTGTTTTTCTCCTTTGTAAAATATGCTCCCAAACAAGATTTTCATCCAGCAGTGCATGGATTATTAATTATGCCATTTATCTTTGGGAACGCCACAAGATGCTACCTCCAAAAGCGCACACTCATCAACCTGGAAGTAAACACAGCAGGAGCATGCAGACTTTCATATGATGGATTGTGTTTTTGCATCCAGAGCGCCCTTTGTATTAAATCCCATCTGCTGTTACACCCACTCCATTCAGCTCCCGCTGGCGCTCCACTTACTGAACATCAGACAGCACAGCTCCACTCAGTCATTATGCCTCATACTGTGCAGTGGAAAGGGAAGGAGCATTACTTAAATCTAATCCAGAGGCTAAATATGAAATCTAATCATCTTATTTGACACACCAACACTTTACAGGATAACTGTATTCCAAGTCTCACATCTCAAGAATCAAAAGGTCTACTGTTAGTAAGTCAAGTTAAACAAATTCAATCATCATTTTATAAAATTGTTTCCAGCAATCGATTGCCTCAATTTTAAGGGTCTGTACTAGGGTAGCTTTGCATGACTTATACTTCAAAATAATCCTTGTTTATCTTATACTGAGTCTTTGTGCAGCCCATAATTCCCTTAAGAGGTGGGTTTTTAGGAGCTTCCCCTCTCCTTCTGACTTTACTTTGTTCTGATTGCCTGTTCCTCGTAAACATTACAGAGTTAATCGGCAGGTGGGCGAGGCTTCTGTGCTTAGAGCCAGAGAAGTGTGAATGAGATGACCATATTACGAAGTTGTGTTTGTTTGTTTGTGACATCATCGTATCGTAATTTTTTAAAAAGACTGACGTCAGCATGTTGCAATAAAAAGAAAATGTAATAAAAACAAAGCAAAGTTGTAAGTTGTTGCCCTTGAGGGGGAAGTGCTCTTTAATGTTCTGTTGGTTCTCTGTTTGTTCATTATTGTGTATTCTTGTTTGTCACATTTGACTTCACTGACTTCTAGTTCTGTGTTTCCCTTTTTTTCTAGTTATTTTCATGAACTTTCTGCCTTAGGTTTATTTTGTTATATTCTATTGTTATTTTCTTTCCCTTGTGCCCTGCTGTGTAAAGTTTATATGTTTGAGTCTGTTGTCAACTGATTGTGTATTTCCTCTTTTACTTTGGTAGTCTTTTGTCACCGGTGCTTTACATTGAGTTCTACTTCCCTTGTCTTGTTGTTCATGATTTGTTTCTGCTGTGTTTCCCACCTGCTTTTTCAAGCCTCAGTACCTTTGGTATTTATTGTCTCAGTCTCCCCTTGCCTTTGTCGAGTTGTCCCACATTGCTGTGTGTACCCCAGTGTAGTAATTCCTCATAACTCTTGGATTTTATTTTTTGTTTTTAGACTGTGCTTTTTTTGACTGCTCCAGCATTAAATGCATATGTTAAATTCCACCTGTGTTCTGCATGTGGGTCCACTAACAATCATCACACTCCACACAGTTTACTGTGACAACCAGTCATGGATCTTACTGGAGAACATCCATATAAAAAATGAAACACTGGGGATAGAAGCTACTATCACTTTGATACTCATCTTCATACAAGGTTGTTAAATAATAGTTCAGTCAAAGGTAATGACTTTGCACGCTGCTGTTGAAATTTCTTTTCCATTAGTGATATTTGTGAAGCTGTGTAAAAGTTAAACAGGACCATATTGCATATTGTTTTAAATATTAAAAAAGGTTATATTTACAGCTGGGTAATCTGAATGGATTTCCTTGTATTTATACATACTGCAAATGGCTTTGAGTGAAAAGTGACACTGATTCGAGACTCACTGTGCATGCAGGGAAGTCCCACCTCGCCATCGTGCAGCGTGTTAACAACGAGGGTGAGGGTGACCCTTTCTACGAGGTGATGGGCATCGTGACCCTGGAGGATGTCATTGAGGAAATCATCAAGTCAGAGATCTTGGATGAGACAGATCTCTACAGTATGTGTGCAAACACACGTGCATAAGCTCAAATGTACGTACGTGGTCAAAATACATGGAAATGTAAGAGTTAATCAGGCTGTTTTTATGTGTCTAAGCTGATAATCGCACAAAGCGTCGTGTTTCTCATCATGAGCGAAAGCAGCAGGACTTCTCCATCTTCAAACTGTCAGAAAATGAGATGAAAGTGAAGATTTCCCCCCAGCTTCTCCTGGCAACACATCGTTTCCTCTCCACAGGTAGCAGCCAATCAAATCGCCTCTCTGTCTGTCAGAGCGCTTACATTTCTGCATAATATGCAACAAGAACATCAGTGTTTTAGCAACTGTAACAAGAATATTTGCAGCGTTTGTCTTCACCCAATCCTGTATCTTTTTGCTTTTTTTCAGAAGTGGAGCCCTTCAAACCAACACACATCTCAGAGAAGATCTTATTGAGGCTCATCAAACACCCCAGTGTGGTTCAAGAACTCAAGTTTGATGAGAAGAACAAACGAGCCTCTCAGCATTTCCTGTTCCAGCGCAACAAGCCAGTGGACTATTTCATCCTAGTGCTACAGGTACCTGTAAGAATTTGACCTTCCGCCATGGCAGTAATTAGCTATGGCTATGATATCCTGTGTGCCAGTCAGTCAGATCACGTTATATTTCTCCAATATTATTTTGCAGGGTCGAGTTGAAGTAGAGTTTGGTAAGGAGGCACTGAAGTTCGAGAATGGAGCGTTCTCTTATTTCGGGGTCCCGGCCATCATGCCAGCAGGTACAAAAGACTTTCCCAAACATCATTGAACTTACAAATATATTAGACCACCACCGAATGTAAGGTTTATACCACAGCAGTCTTAGATTAACATTATTGTTAATTTGCAACATCGTTTTTTTATGTTTCTATAATGGTTAATACGCTAGTATGCCCACGCTCTTTAATGCTAAAACATAGTTATTGTCTATTAAACTTACTATTTTAGAAAAAGCAGAAATAAAATAGTAAAGCACTTTTTTATTATCATGCCAAATTGGACTTACTTACCCTCATAATAACATAAAATCGTGGGTATAAAATATGAATTCAGTCAAATCAATTTAATCATTTTTCATTTTTAAGTTTCTAAAACATTTGTCTTGTTTGGTTTGTTTTTTGTATCACAGGTGATTTAATAAACTTGTTAAGCACTGTGTGTGGCCTGATTATTAACCTTTAGTATCTGCTGTCAAAATGATAGAAGCAAAAATCAACACAAATTCACAGAAAAACTAAAAATGAGTTTATAAACCAACGAGCATGAAGCCAGAACTCCACATACTCTGAAACAGCTTCACCATTTATAAATATAAATACTGCAAATTCATCATGACACACCAAAAAAGAGTATACAGAAGATGTAAAACCTCCACCCTAGACTGTAACGCACTTTCTATCAGATATAAACAAATGAGTTGCCAGATATCAAACCTTTCCTTGATCAGTGAGAGGATTTTAAAATCAAAGCAAATTTGAAAGATTTAGTTCTAGTTGAAACTCTAAAAATCTCGGCATGTTTTTAAGTAGTTTGCTGATGAATGTTTTTTTAAAGCAACAAGAAGACTGATAATAAGAAAATTTGTATTTTATTGTATTTGTCTGCTTTGAAGAGTATAGTGATAATTCACAGTTTATTCATTAAAGATTATGATAGAATGCTTTCAGTTGTGCAGTTATATATGCTTGTTAGGCACATAAAGTTAAAGGCACAGATTTTTGTTTCATTGTAATTGAATAAAAACATACACCGTGTTCCAAATTATTATGCAAATTGTGTCATAAAGATTAAATAAGTTGTTTTTCAATTAAACCCATGGATGGAATTGTGTCTCAGGGCTCTTTGGATGACTGAAATCAGTCTCGGACACCTGTGATCATTAGTTTGCCAGGTGAGCCCAATTAAAGGAAAAACTACTAAAGAAGGATGTTCCACATTATTAAGCAGACCATCATTTTCAAGCAATATAGGAAGGAAAAATGATCTCTCTGCTGCTGAAACGTGTGCAATAGTTGAATGCCTTGGACACGTAATGAAAACCTTTGATATTTCACGAAAACTTAAGTGTGATCACCATAATTTTAAGAGATGTATGGCTGACTCACAGCACACACAGGTTCGTGCAGATAAAGGCACAATGATGAAGGTTTCTGCCAGACAAATACATGAGATTAAGTGAGCAGCTGCTAAAAGGCCAAAGCAAAGCAGCAAACGGTGCTGGTGCCTCTGGAGCCCTGCGAACATCAAGGTGTAGGATCCTCCAGAGACTCGCAGTTGTGCATAAACTTTCTATTCGGCCACCCCTAACCAATTCTGACAAGCAGAAATGCCTGCAGTGGGCCCAGAACTACAAGAAGACTAATTTTCAAATAGTCATGTTCCCTGATGAGTGCATTGCAACCCTGGATGGTCCAGATGGATGCAGTGGTGGATGGTTGGTGGACAGCCACCATGTCTCAACAAGGCTGCAACGTCAGCAAGAAGGTGGTGGAGTCATGTTTTGAGCCGGAATCACGGGGAGAGAGCTGGTTGGCCTCTTTAGAGTCCTTGAAGGTGTGAAAATGATCCCTGCAAAGTATGTGGAGTTTCTGACTGACCACTTCCTTCCATGGTAAAAAGAGAAGAACTGTGCCTTCTGCAACAAAACCATCTTCATGCAAGACAATGAACCATCTCCTGCAAGGAATACCTCGGCATCATTGGCTGCTATCGGCATAAAAGGAGAGAAACTCATGGTGTGACCTCCATCCTCCCCTGACCTCAATCCTACTGAGAACCTTTGAAGCATCCTCAAGCAAAAAAAAATATGAGGGTGGAAGGCAGTTCAGATCCAAACAGCAGCTCTGCGAGGCTATTCTGACATCCTGCAAAGACAAAGTAGAAACTTTCTGAAAATTCACAAGTTCCATGGATGCAAGAATTGTAAAACTGCTATCAAATAAGGGCTCCAATGTTAATATGTAACTTGACCTGATGTTTTTGATTGAAATAGCTTTTGATTTCAGTAAAATTGATCTACTAATGCTGCAAATTCAACAAATGACCATTTTCACTTCTCTACAACCTATAAAATGTTTTGAAACTCTGTGTGCGTAATAATTTGGAACAGTGCATTTTAACTTTTTTATTTTTGAAAAACATACTGTTTTTATTGGCAGTTTTGTTGAGTAACATTTGAATTATACTCTAATGGTTGATGACTCGAAAATTATGCTGACTGTCACTTGACCAACTATTTAGAAAAATTAGAGAAAGATATAATTTGCATAATAATTTGGAACGCGGTGTATTTAAATATTAGGTTAAATGTAAAATGTGAGATCTGCCATTTGCATGTGTCCCTTAGTGACTCCACCATGAAGCAAACACTGTGTAGTGAATGAACACTAGTTCCCTAAACATGCATAATATACTGCTTGAGTGAAATTGTGCAAACACATAGTGTATTTGTGAAAATGCTCTGAAACTCTTCAAAAATCTTCAGTTGTAGCATTTAAATGCTCTGAGTGGCAGCATTTAAATATTTAAATATTATTGTAAGATTTGTGTGGTAAGGAGTCTAACAGTATTAAATATTAGATATAACAGGGCGTAATGTGAACACTTCTGAGTCTTTTAACTGCCATGCAGCTGCAGCGACATCCCTGAGATCTTTCGTGATTTGACTGACACTCCTCTACCATTTTTCTGTCCTTGTTAAAAGATACATGTTTGATATCATATCCTCCTTTGCAGTCCACAGATCGCCCTCTCGTAGCAGCGGTTTGGACCGCTCTGAGTCGATGCTCTATGGGGGAAGTATGAGCCAGCTGAATGGAGGGGGGAATGTCTACCTGCCAGACTACTCTGTAAGGCAGCTCACTCACCTTCAGCTCATCAAGGTAAAACCTGAAACTCACATGGTGTCTGAAAGCGTTCTTTTCATTTGGAAAGACGACATGCTTTACAATGCACATGTACTCTGACTTGAATGGAGAGGGAGACGGTATAACCATGACTGAAAAAAGTTCATTACATTTATTAACTTTTTGCTGAGACTAAATATGAGGCTACATGTTGGAATTTTCTTACTTCATTTAATTTGGGGATTTTGTTGAAGGACCATTATCGGCACCAAACCAGAGACTGAACTTCATAACGGGATTATTTTATAAAATTACAGAATTACTGAAATGTCTGAACGCTTATTGTAGATCTACCATAATACATAAGTAAATAAAAACTGTGCTGCCAGCATCTGTGTTCCATCTCATTCATAATATAACATTAGATTAATACATTCTGGTATGATGGGCTCTTACATCACATTGGTCAAGGAACAAATATTTAGTTTTCTGGTTTGTTCTTAGGCTTATGTGACTGCTCTGAGTTTGCTGAAGAACTGTATTAATGAAGAGCATGTTTGGAGGAAGTCTGACATTCCCAAAATCTTTTGCTCATAGATCCTTGGAAGAAATATTTCCCTGACTGAAATTCGGACTGAAAAAACTCTGGTCACTTAGGCGTCAGCTATCAGAACAAAATGAAATCAGATAAAAGACAGACGGGGGAAAGTGTAACACAAGATTGCCCACAATCTTGTGTTATTATTGTAGGGTCTACCTTACAATATAAAGCGCCTTGAGGCGTCTGTTTTTGTGATTTGGCGCTTTATAAATAAAATTGAATTGAATTGAAAAAAAACCCCAAAATTAAATCCACCCCCACAGTATACAACAAATGTTACTGGGATAGACTCAGATATATTAAAATCCCTGTTATGGTAAACTACAAACTGAGTTCTGATCAATATGAAGAAACTAAGTTTCAGGAAAAATATTAGGATCAGTCCTTCAGAGGACCATGCAAAGTCACAGTGTAACTAATGACGGGAGAATTCTCTTCATTTCCATCTTTTTGTTCTTTACATATCTCAATCATCACAATCATCCAGTCGCCTTCAACCTTGGCAGTACAGTGCTATTACAGTGTACACACACACTCACAGCCATATTTGTTTGGATATCAAATATCAGATGCAGAACATTCACTGACATTATTGTATAACCAAATCACTTACTCCTAAATTTAACATCACCACTGAGTGCTAAAGCGAGCTTGTCCTTAAAGCTTCAGTTTTTTTAAACAGTAACTTAATGATTGCCTTTCCTGGCAGTGGTTAGAGGGCATCGGTGTCTGAGTGGACGAGGTACTAGTGATGAAATTCAGTTTTCTCAGACGACTTCTCGCAGTGTTGAAAGAAAGCTATACTGTGACAATGGTGCAACACAAAAGGCCTGAGGATCATTAACGATGACACAAATGATCTTGAGACAATGAATATTTAATGAGATCTCTCGAACTAAGCAGCAGACGTTACCGTCCTCATTAACATTGTCCTTGATTTCATCTCACTTGTAGCAAAAGACAAAAAGAAAGTTGACCATGACAAGTAAAGACAAGTCTGATATGATGGGCGTTACATCACACTGAATAAGGAAAAAACATTTAGTCAAAAATGGACAAAAATAAGAGATTTTTACACTATTAATTATTAGATATAACAGGGTGTAATAAAATCGAATTACACAAAAACTTTTAGAAAAGAATAGGTTCACGTTCAACTCTTAATAATACCCATAATCCTCTGCTTCTATGTATCAGATCACCCGGAGTCACTACCAGAATGCAGTAACAGCTACCCGGATGGACAGCTCCCCTCAGACCCCTGATGCTGACACCCGTCTGACAGAAAGCAACTCCCCGACCCCCGGGCCTCCAGCACCAGAGCCCACCACCACCACACTGATGCCCCCAGACCACACTACTGCCACCCTTATGCCCCCACCCAGGGAGCCAAGTCGGCCCAGTTCAGCCCGAACCCGGGGACAGCAGTCCAGTGTGCCACACAGCACCTCCCTGCTGAATGAGAAGAACCGCATTGTCCGTAAGTATCCTCGACTCCAGAGACATGGAGTCATACCGTGACAACAGGGATGACTTGAAGCAGGTTTCATGTCACAGTGATGTCAGTAAGAGATTATGTGAGCCATCAGAGGTAGAAAGCCATGCCACTCCTGCAAATGAGTTTTTTCCTAAATCAATAAGGGTGTAATATTCAGTATGACTGGAATTGAATACCCTGAGCTCCCTAAAACAGCATGTTTAAAAACGAGTGAGTGAGAGATAAAACCACAGAGTGAAATGATAGAGACAATATTAATGACATGAGCTGTGTGGGTTTCTTCGTTTTTTCTACTTGAGAAAAAGTTTAAGTGTAGGGTCGGCCCTGAGAGCTGTGTAAGTATTAATTTCCTTAAGTAATTAATTTCTGGTTTTTGGATTAAAATTAAACATTAGATGGCAAATCAAAGTTTAAAGGATTTCTGGTTAGATGAGGTAAAACATTAAGGTAAACATGTACTGACCACATTTACTATTCCATTTCTAATTTTTAATGTCATTATTATTCAAGTAAACGCTTCTTTTGACTTATTATTTAATGTATGTTGACATGTCGCGACAAATGCTTTTGACACAGAGTCTCTACAGTCTTGGTTGAAGACTGCAGCTCGACCAAAATGAACTTTCTGCCTTTGAAATGGTCAGTTTGAAGGCTGGGACCAGATCTGCAGTCACTCACAGTCAGTTGCCATCTTCAAAGTGATTTTAGTGCATCGAGACAGCAATAAAACAACAATAGGACGTCATCAGTCTGCTATCAGTTTGAGATTGAATGGGTTGACAGTTACATGCAAGCTAGTATAGTGATAGTATAACTGAGATAAATTGGTGAAAAGTACCGATGTGCTGCATTCTTCAATCACAGAAATTCATATTAAACGACTTGAACATTAAACTAACTACTTACGTTCAGAGGCTACCCACCTGGTAGGTCAGCAACAGAAATTCTGTTGCTGCAAGACAACAATTTAACTGCAAAATGACACAGGTGCTCTGCAGCGGTTTACAGGAATATAACCACATCACAACCAACTGAGTTGAGTGTCCTACTGCAAACAGATGCCTTGGTGCATGCTGACTTAGACAGATTGAAGCCTGTTGGAAATCTGTCTGCATTTATAAATTAGCCTACCTTTGCCAAATTGCCTGAGGCCGATTGCTGTCAGTGCAGCTCAGACCACAGCAGTTTGTGGCGTTGCACGCTGAACTTCTGGGCACTGAAGTTGTGACTGCATCTACTTTAAATTTGCTCCAAATGTGAAAACATTCAATGCAAACATCAGCCACTGATTTTTTTCCTCTAGTGTGACTGAGCCATTAAGAAGTCATGTTAAAACCAATATTAGGATAGTTAACATAAGCTTTTTTTAGAATTGGTAATATATAGTGCTTTTCTACTTTACCTGAGCACTCAAAGCACTTTATACATCTTGGCTCGTTCACCCATTCATACACGTGCTTTTTCTCTGCCTTTTCTACATAAGTGCTTTCACATACACTCATAGTCCGATGGATGCATCAGAGACATGGTGTTAGTATCTTGCCCAAGGAGTAGATGGTACCTACCTGTAGTGATAGAGCCGCCAATGGACTCTAGTCAATGGAGTCCATTGGAGGGTCAGGACATTGTTCCACATGTAGGACAAAGTTAACCCACTGCAGACCTGCTGTCATTGCTGGAAATATTCAGTTTGGCTGAAGTATTTCCCTGGAAACTACTTCAAATACTTCAAAAAGCTTTAGGATCAGTGAATCCTAAAGTCTGTAGGATTCACTCACTTGCTAACTGGTGACCTTTATCAACTCTACTAGCATATAGCAAACAGGAAATTGGAGAGACTTTGTACCAGGAAACTGAAAGGTTAGAGCCATTGTCACCTACTATCTAATCTAGAGTTTCAGTGAGTGGTTGCTATTTTATTTTCATTCATAATTATTATACTAAACAATTATGTTGTATAGTTTATTGTTCAACATTTGGTATATTAAATTATCTACTCTGTAAAGTTATCCAGTTTTTTAAAAATGCGATTTCCTCAGAGTCTAACATGGGATTCAAACATTTCAAAACCCAAAACCAAGAAAAACATGATATTTCTGCTAAAAACAGTTTTATTCACTAATCAGTAAAAGATTTCACATCTTTTAAATGTCCAGTAAATCCAGTAAAAAATCCAGTAAAACAAACTACATCATGTGTTTTTTGATGTACATGTTTCTGTGGATGTGTCTTCTGCAGGTAGCAAGTCTGATGGCCAGAAGAGTCCGAGTGATTCGGTGTTTCTGAGGATGGATGAGATCCCCTACATCAGAGAGGACAGATGTGAGCCTGGTTAGTCTAACGGTTTATGTTAAAAAATAAACGCTTCCACACAAAATATAGACACGGGTACAGAGAGGAAGTCACGTCCATGTCTTTAACGGTGACAGCAGACATGAAACCTATACAACACTAAAATATTCCAAAAGAACACACTCGTCACACTACACATCATCACGGAAAATCTTTTTCTGCATTAATGCATGTAAGGCAGGTTTACCACCAGCTTGAATCCTTGAAAAAAGCTTGAAATCTCCAAACACAAACATAATATAACAGATAGTTTTAGCACATGGCTCTCAAACTTAGCACAGAGTCACACAGGACTTTAGTCTGTCCTCTAGCAGAGACCAAAGCTATTTATCACTGACAGGTCATAATCTCTCTCTCTCTTTCTCTCTGTCTCTCCCTCTCAGACATGGCCTCTGTTCCCATAGAAACGGACACATCCCCTTTCATCAGCAGCCTGTCGCTGAGTGGTTCAGAGGACACACTGGGCAAGAAACTGCTGCTCAAACTAAGTCAGTCACACACAAGCCACCTATTCACCAACCCTTTCTATTCATTTCACTCACTTCCTACTTGGATTTGATTCACATGCAAACTCAAACACACACACACACACACACGCGCGCGCGCGCTCACACACACACACACACACACACACACACACACACACACACACACACACACACACACACACTTAAACATACATTAGTGTTTTGGACTTGCCTGCTCTGTATTCTCGTGCTGTTTCTGGACGATGATTCCAGCGCTTTGTGTCAGATCGATGTGTAGGAGGCTGCTGCTGCTGCTGCTGAATTTGAAAAACAAATCTTCATGAAAGTAAAACTATACACAAACAACGACATATGACATTTGAGTTTTGTTGATTTGGGTATTTCTATGCAAATCGTTTACTTCTCTTCATTTCAAACTGAAATGAAAACCTCAAAGAAATAAAGCTTTGTGCACGCAGGATTAAAAGCGTTGCAGAAATTAGAGACAATAGAAAGTCAAAGATAATCAACAACTTTAGGTGAATATTTAAAGTGAATACAGGTGAAAAATCACTGTTAATGAGAAGTGAATCAGTCCTGAGATAAACCTTTCTCAACTTCAAGGCAACCGATTGAGGCGATTTCCAATGAGATCACAGGATACGGGTAATTGACATGACACAGGGCAGTAAATACATTAGATTGTTACCTAAGTAACTGGAGCCTGGAACTCACCATTCAAAGCAATACACCATGAGCAGATTGCTGCCTGTGTGGATACAGCTTAACAAATGCTTACAGAAGCCTGTAAAGGACGTTTAAAGTGAAACTGAGTGAAACTGAAAGATTGATTGATTGAGTAAAATAGAACTAAATGTAATGCTCCACATATGTATGCTTAATATGAGTGAAAACTACAATCTCCATCTGGTGTATAAAACAAATTTGACTGATTTTTATTCCAGTTTGCAAAGAATTGATGCTTTTGGTTTCCACTGATTGTTTAGATCAAAGTGTTTCCTTCTTTTTGTTGAGAAAATTACTTTTTGGTTCATAGAAACCTGTTACTTTATGATACTTCATCCTCAAGCGCAATGATGTGTTTTTATCTTTTTACGAGAAACTAAAAACAATTTTAAAAACCCAAAAGAAAAGAAAAGAATTTTATTTTAAACAACAACAACAAAAGCCTCAGCCATGTTGATTTATCAGAAAGTCTGGACATAGACAGGCGATTGATAAACAGAAACATTTCAATGTGTTTCTAGTAAAAATTACACATTAAATTAAGATCCAAAGCCTTACAATGCTAGTAACTGGCAATAATATGTGACCTTAGTTAGAAGCCAAAATAAATGCTGTCTTTAAATTTAAATCTAACAACAGTATGGTAGTTTCTAGTAGGTGTATGACAGGTACACCGGTCCTTCTGCATTTAACTGTTAATGTGTTTTGTTTCCTCAGGCCACAAGAAGAGGAAAAAATCTCGTGAAGGGGAAAAAACACCAGAGGACATTTCAGAGCAGCCGCTGGTGAAAACCTAGCAGAGTGTGTGTGAAACAGCCCAGAATACACTCCATCATGTGATGGTTCTTTAAGCTGTTTGTAAAGACAAATGTGGCTGCTGAATTACAGCTCTCAGAGTTTTATCTGAAAACACACTCCAAAAGCCCGCACTGTTGGAGACCGTAAAGTGGGCCAGTTTCCAAGAATGCACAGAACCTGTGGGTGGAAGACACCATCCTAACAAAAAGCGGGGGTGCAGCTTTAGCAACATGCACCAAACCCTTCGCTCTTTGATTCACTGTATCAAAGAACACAAGCTTCAGCTCTATGCCATGGCTTCTCATCTCCAGGTTCTTGTGTGGATGCACATGTGTAAAGAAAAGACTGTGAATGTAAAAGATTTATAGAAAAATAGGGGTTTTTTTTACTCACGTAAGACCACTTCTTCAATGGAGCTAAAGACACTGATGTTGCTCGGGAAACAGAGGGAAGACACCAAAGATGTTGCTGTTTTGTACGTACTGCTCCAAATGCACAAGTGAAATTATAGTAAAGGTTCTTTTAGAGGCAGCCTGATTAGCACCCTTTAAATAATAATTAGAGTTTCAGCCTACAGTGCAGAAATACTATCTATTTGCATTCTATTTGTTAACACCTGCATTTTATATACTGCAAATGAAATATGCACGCATTTTCCACCAGTTGCTCACAAAATGTGGTCACACTGAGAAATAGTGAAATAGCATACAGCGATTCCTGATGGTATGGAGGCCTAGAAGTGCCAACAGAAAGAAAGAAAGAAAGAAATGAAAACATCAGTGCCCAGCATTGCTGATGCTTGTGTGGTGTAGGCTATTACAGCAGTGAATTCACATCCATAGGGATGAATGCCATGTACGAATATAATGTAAACCTTTCGATGTGCCCACGTGTTTCTACCCATGCGGTGAATCGATTCAGTAGATGAAGACAAATATATGGTTATGATAATATATTTTTCAACTGCATGTGGGTATTACGATTGGAGCTCTAAACCTCCTGTTCATTTTATTCATCACTGAGTCTGAGAATCATTTAAGTGTCTGTAAAACGTGGGCTGGAGACAAATCTCCTGTTGAATGTCAAACACAAAGTCATTCCCTGTCTTGCTGAAAGCGATTAGCTTAGCTTGGCCTAAATCCTGGAGTCTGGCGCAATTTGCTTTAAGCGGCTAAAATCAGCGTTTTGTTGTGGTAACAATAAAACATCCCATGCAGAGGTGTTAGCAAAGGGCTAGTGAGCATTTAGTTGGTAGACACTACGGCCAAAAAATGGCCACCATGATGTCATCTATTTGTTAGAGAAGTCTCATTGTTGGGGGTTATGCGGGTTTCATGGATGCCATGTTTTAAACTCATGGCTCAGAACATCAGGAAAGTGTTATTTTGGAAATAATCCAGCATTGAAATATTGTTCTGCTCTGATATTTGCTACATGTGCTGCAGGCAGTGCTGAGTGTATGAGAAACTGTGGCTGCTGAGCCACAGAGCCAAAGAGGATGTAATGATTATATAACTCTCCTTAAACGTTGTTAGCGGAGGTGGTGGTGCGGTCTTTAAAAGGCTCTGTTTGTTTTTCTTTTTCCTTCATGTATCCACCTACAGTTCATACGACAGCAGTGCTGAAAACTCCCAGTGCCAGTTTGTGGATGACATCATCGCTTGAAATCATGCTCCTTCTCGGTTTTGATTGTTGAGACATGTCGCTTTTTTGATCACTTTTGTGAAGTATAATATCCTGCAACTCTTATTGTGTAGGAAAAAGATTCAGTAATAATGTCTGACGGCCCAAATCATTCAGGTTTTTGGTGATCTGTGAAGAGCTGCCTCTGAACCTGCGCTTTCTGTTTGTCTGCATGGTACAGCAGGGATGGGATGGGAGGGTGTGGCACTGTCACTGAGGTTCAGGATCAGATTTGTGCCACTGCAGCATAGACCTGGAGCAGGAGGAGGAGGAGCAGAAGGAGGAGGAAGAAATGTGAAAAGAAGGAAAATGCACTTAAAGGCCTAAAATTTGACTCGCCGATACAGTTTTGTTTCCTGACTGAAGCCACTTTGCTGCATTACTTTGTAAAATGTTATCGTGCTGCGTCATCTGCACTTAAAAACTCTACTTGCATAATTGGTTGGAGGGGAGGATTAAAGACCTTGATTTGTTTAAAGTGAATTTTGAAAGACAGTCAACAAATTAGTGAGAAGCATTAGCATCAAACAGCCTCGCCCAGCAGTACAAACACATATTTAGGAACTAGTGGGAGGGGTGCTTTTCAACTCTGCTCATTGGTTAATGTAACAGGAGGCCAGGCAGAGAGAAACATCCCTCCTGAGTACAATACATGAAACCTGCTGAATCATTTTGCTGCATTGGGGCACCAGCCTCAGCCAATCAGCAGCATCCTTTGAGGTCAAATCCAGACAATAACAGATTCTGCTGCAGGACGTTGTTGATTTGTTAGGTCGGTTCATGCTTCCTGCTGTACATCTATTTGAGCTTCGGAGATCAGGATGCGCTCATAACATGTCTGAGATCAGTTCTGTATATTCACTATTTCTGCTATGAGACAAGGTAATGTCAGCTGATGAGTGCAAATTTGTTTTCAGCTGTTTTCACTGTACTTTCTAACAGAAGGAGCCGAGCTGCAGACATGTACAGACAGCATTTCCTTGGAAATATGAGAGTTTAGTACTTGTAAAATAGAAAAGCAACTATGTGATGTTTTTTGTATCAGAATATACAAAAATACAGAGTTCCACAAAATACTGAATTTTAACAGTCTGATGTGTTTATTTTATATTAAAGACAAATCTGGTGATGATATATTATGGTTTATTTTTCTTGCTTTAAACATTTCCCACAAGACCAAACCAACCAACATGATCTTATTGACAAGTGTCGTTGGTGCATTATTATTATTATTATTATTATTATTATGATGAAGCTATATTATTATTACAGTTACAATTACATAATGCAATTATATATTGTATTATGAAATACAATGAAACATTAAGTTTTTGTATCGGTATCAGATCAATATCGTTGACACCACCCTTGGTATCGCACATCACTACCGCCAACATCTCCACACTTTCTACACAATGTACGGTGTTAAACTGCTGATTATATCATATTTGGATGTCTGTTTTTGCCTTTAAATATGAAGATATTTTAAATCCACTGTCTCACAAGATGATAGATATGGGAAAAAACAAAACACATACACAGAGTTCATAATTTAATTTAGTGTGAACGCCATTACAAACACCAGTTAACATGTGATTGCGGCATAGAACAGGTTCTGAGGTGTGATCAGTGGCTTCTTACAGCGGCTTTGTGTAACAACATAAGGGCACTGCAGGGTGGAAACAAAGTAACAGAGAGAGGAAAAAGGTGACTTTTGTTCAATGATGGCACAGAAGGCGATTTTGTTGACTTAGTGGCTAAACAAATTATCTTCTGCCGTATGTCTAAAGCAAGGCAACACAGCATCAGGCATGTGCTTTACCTTTGAGATGATGATGACCGTTGAACTTTAACACAACAAAATAAAATCAAGATTACAGTACCAGCTTTTATATTCTAATGGCTAAAAACAGGAAAGTGATTTGTTGTGGTCTCAGTGCTTATAAATGAAATGGCAGGACTAACAGTAATTACATCTATTTACACAACTTTTCCTGTGCTGCAGTTTGTTCAGTACTACTGTTGTGTAGGAAGCATAATTTCATCGCAAATCTTCCCAGTCCACATTCTGGTGTCCAGTTTGAGTGGAATGATTTGGACTGCACAGAAGCTTGCGGCAACAATTCAAACATATGATGGGGTTGTCACGTCTGCGTGTTCGATCATACCTGGCTCTTCCAAAAACCACTGTACCTCCCATAAAATGACGCCGTCATGTGAGAACAAAAACACATCCTTCCTCCCGTTGGTTCAACTGCAAATTGTGAGGACGCAGTTTGACCAATAGGAGGAGAGGATAAGCAAAGAGAGGGGCACAGACTCGATGAAACGTCCTGTGGCGTACAGGAGGCAGGAAGTGGACGAGCACAAATGGCCTTTACTGGACTTTGGTGACGGCCTCGTGGATGGACTGAGCGACGTAGTCGATATTCTTGCTGGTCAGGCCGCACATGTTGATGCGGCCGCTAGCCATCAGGTACACGTGCTTCTCTTTGATCATGTACTCCACCTGTTTGGCTGTAGCACAAATTGCAACAGAGTGAGTGAACTTCATAAATGATGTGAAGATAAAGTGAGCCAAGACCGCTTGTTTCAAACAGAATATGAACTGAGGGGCTGCACAGAAGCCAAGTATAAGACATATAAAGATACTTTAACTGTGAAGAGCAGAGTCCAAGAACAGAAATATCAAGTTTAATACGTCTCCTTTAAGCATGTGTTGGGTATCTTGCAGGTCCCTCCACCACTGTGACACTTATCTCTGATAATCCCAGTATGTTAAAAGCAGGATGTGCTTCTACATTAGTGCGTGTATGTGTGTTTTCACTCACGAGTTAGGCCGGTGAAGCTGAACATGCCAATCTGCTGAGTGATGTGGTCCCAGGTCCCCGGGGTGCCCAGAGCTTGCAGCTTGGCCTTCAGCTGATCCCTCATCAACAGAACTCTGTCTGCCATGGTCTTCACATTACCCTTCCTAAAGTGGGGAGGCGGGATGGAGACAAGTGGGGATATTTAAAAAAGGACATAAGACAGGAAATGAGAGTAAAAGTCAGCTGACAAAGACTATGAACCTCTAAAAGTAATAGCACATGAGAGAAAGGCCAAGTGTTTCCAAAATTTCAAAACCATGCTAGCATGCACATTTGGTAACAAGCATCCATGTGCATGCACCGACGAGGAAGGTAAGTTATTAATATTAATTGAATAATCAGGTAAAAGATGAAGGGTTAGCAGGAGCTAGTATGCTAATATTAAAGCGCTGACTGATGGAGCGTACCATTCTTCAAACAGCTCAGGGCTGTTGAGGGTCTTGCTGACAATGCGTGCTCCCTGAGAAGGTGGGTTGGACCAGGTCGTCCTGACAATCTTCTCCATCTGGGACAGAACGCGGGTTAGGTTCTCGTTGTCCTTGGAAACCACAGTCAGGTTCCCCACTCTCTCATCTGTAAGTAGAGACAGACAAAATATGGCTTCACATAAAACTAATCGAGGGTAAGTAGAGGTATAAACAGTATAAACTTATTTTTGGCTAAAACACACAAGACTGTATGCATGAATGTACGTGGACCATGAGTACTCACTGTACAGGCCAAAGTTTTTGGAGAAGGACTGAGCTATAAAAAGCTCAAAGCCCTCGGAGACAAAGAAGCGGATGGCCCAGGCGTCTTTTTCCAGAGAGCCTGAGGCGAAGCCCTGGTAGGCGGAGTCAAAGAACACATACAGCTTCCTCCTCTGGAGAAGGAAAAGACGAAATACATACATTAAAATTCAGTTCATTTCTTTTTTTAATTACACATTAAAGCAATTTTACAAAAGAAGAAGATATTCATGGTGAGTTAGACACCACCAAGGCCATCAGATGATGGTAAAATAATGTCTTTGTACCTTCATCACTTCTGCAATCTGCTTCCATTCCTCCTGGGTCGGGTCGGTGCCAGTGGGGTTGTGTGCGCAGGCATGGAGGACAAAGATGGAGTACTCTGGAGCTTTCTGCTCAGAGAAGACAAATAATGAGTAAAAATATTCAAAATAAATGAATAAAAATGCTCCCAAAGAGTCTTCTTGTTTTCATATCACTGTCTGTTGGGTTCTTGTAACTAAACAGGAGTCATCGTTCCAATCTCACCTCTAAATCATCCAGGAACCCAGTGAGGTCCAGGCCCCTCTGGGCAGCATCCCAGTAGTGGTAGGGGCGGATATCTTTGAAGCCAGCATCAGCAAATACACCGTTGTGGTTCTCTGGAAGAAGAAACGTTCAGCAGGTATTTACCACTTAAATCTGCTCTGATACCCACTGAGACGTTCACTTCATTATCGAAAAACAGTCAAACTTTCTCAACTACAATTTCCTGCATCCTAAAACTTTTCACTAACCCCAGGTGGGTGCCGAGACGTAGACGGGCGTGGCTGCGTTGTTGACGCCGTTGTACCACCGCCGCAGGAACTCTGCCCCAATCCTCAGTGCACCTGTCCCACCCAGAGCCTGGACTCCTCCAACCTGTGACAGGAAGCGGGCAGTGGGAAACGCAATCAGAGAAATATACGTATGATATTAAATACATGTTGCTTTTCACAGTTCGGCCAGAGAATTTTGTGATAAGGCTGCGGGTCATGCCTGCTTCTGAACACTGCTGTTAATATGCACCAACTTAATACACCAAGACTTGTTGGTCTTTCAGACCTTGCCTTCACAGGTTTTCCTGCCCTTATTGTCTTGTTTTTCACTTTTTTCCCTGTTCTACCTAAACTGTTGCAGTGGTAAATGCTCATATTTAATATAAATTAAGTTTTAAATAATGAGGTTGCAGGGACGTGTGCGCACAAGAATTCCCTGTGAGTCAAAATCTCAGGCTTCAGATTGCTTGTTCAACTCTTCCTTGACCTCATGTAGATGAGAGGCCATCTCCTTCACACAGCTATGGTCGTAAGCACAACAGCTCCACCCACCTACTGTTCAAACTTTGCAAGGGGCAGCCAATCAGAAGAAATCTGCCTTAAAAGGAGGGGAAATAAAGGTGCTTGGGTGTGAAAGACGATAAACTGAGGGGTTCAGTGTATTCAGAACTAATACACCACCACTACTGGAGTCTGAGAAATAAAAACATGGAGCTTTAAATTAGGGTTTCTAAGGATGTTTAAAAGAGATTAAAGACGCAGGCAAACCTGATCAGCTGATACTCATCCAGTTATGTCCATTAATCAATGGAAAGCTGAGGTACAGATTAAAATTGAAAGAACTTTTAATCAATGTAAAATGTGCTTTTATTTCCTTTTTATTTCACTGCAAAAATAAACAACATTTATTACATTTGCTCCAACTGATCAAAAACCTCCATGTGTCAATGTGCATGTCCCACCCTGTTCTCCTTGATGGCAGGGCTATCGTCTCCCAGGGCGACCTTTGAGGCAGCGGAGCGGAACTCTGGCAGACCGAGGATGGGCAGGTACTCGTGGTTCAGGCTCTCGTCCTCCACGATGAGCCGCTCCACCTTTTTCACCACCGGCAGCACCCAGGGCTGGCAGTCATCAGTACGGTAAGCTGGAGGGGACACAAAGCAAAGCAAATGTTAATCCAGAAGGCACAGGTATTGCTTCTTAGGGACAGGTTGTGTAGACTATTACTCGTGCCTGCACTTCACAAAAAAGCTTTTTTATGCTTAGTATGACGTTGATAGATATTTACAGCTGATATACTACATAACTAAATACAAACACTTTGTTTCTGCTGCTTGTGTCACTGTGTATAGCGCCATATCACCGAGTATTACAAAATTCTAGATAATACTTCAAAGATAAAAATGGTAATAACACAGCACTGCAGTCTGCAAATAGTAAAGTGAATAGAAGAAAATGCGCACAGGAAAGAATAAACTGCCATTTAACTTCATATGATGCCATATAAACTTTGAAGGTCACCGGCAAACGTGTGTAGCACATATCTGACTCCTTAGGAACTTGTGCTCCCTCATACTGGTCTGGAGCATGAGCAGAGCAGGATCACATATCAGGGTTTGGCAGCGGCGGTACACAGTCACTCAGGGTCCAAAGGCGAGCACACTTAAAAGGTCAAACATGCTTATGGTGGCTTTGGGGTATGCAAAATAATTCTGTGTGTGGCCAGTACAAAATCTGAA